CCACATAAAATGCTGGATTTTAGCTTCGAAATTCTCTATGAGATAACGCAGTCAATCTCGCAGCAGCGCTCCCTAATGTCATAATACGACACTCATAGTGATTTACAGTATCACTTTTTTCTTCTTTTTTTCGCAAATGTTGCGGTAAAACATGACCGTCTTCTGTTTTCATCAAGTCGAAAACGGGCGCACATATATTTCATCAGTATGTTAACCCCTGCAGCCCATGCATTTATGTCCTTCTTCTTCTTCTTCTTTGCGTTCTTTGGCTGAAAACTCCTGCGGAATGTTTTAAGTTTTCTTCCACATCCAGACTTTAGTCTGCTTCCAAAACCTGAGTGTTGCGTACACATCCGTTTCACAGATCTTGCTCATTTGTATGCAGACTCTTGGTACCTTGCCTTTCAGGCAGATGTGATCCCACTTCGAAGGAGGCTCCCTATTGGTTAACTTCTACGTCATGCTTGCTGTGGAGGCAATGGATCTATTGCTGTTTTCCTCAGAGCAGAGCCACTGAACTCCCACGGAAACTGAGCATTTATGAACTAATAGCGACCATAGCTTTGCTTCTGTGTCTAAGTGTTACAATCTTGGTGACTTAAAGCACCAGTTGATACAGATACATGACAGTAACCGTTGAAATAGAAAAGATTCCTCTTGCAGCTGACGAATTTAGTATACCGGATGGTGCGTTTTGTGTACTGAAAGAGTTGGGATATTTACATTAGCTATCTTATACAATTTACTGTGTTGAAAGATGCAGAATTGCTGAACTACTACCATGGCGTATGATCGTAAAGATCACATAGACAACCGGGTCGAATGTTCGCTCGCCTGTAGACGACTTCGTCGCCGGTCAGGACAATATTTTGGTCTGTCTCCTTTGTTCGCGTCCACACTGCAGGAGTCCTTTACATAGCTTTTGGTAGGGTGCAATGTTAAGCCATTTTATGTTGCGCAAATAACCTAGCCACAATTATAACGTAGAGCTGTCCCTTTGGGGATGCTGACTGAACGTGACGCATTTTTTTATTTAAAGCAAAGCACCTATGTACCATCACCATCATCAAAAACGTCCCGTGTTACACAAGGCCTTACTCGCTGTTTCACAGTTTCTGTTGACTGTCTGATCAGCTCTCTCCACTGTTGACGGTCAGATGCGATGAACTTCATGGTTGCTAGCCTAAGGCCTGTCCCGTCAGTAAAGTTTTCTATCTAGTCTTTCTTGGTCTGCCTCTTCTCATCATTCCCTTACTAAGCACATAAGTATTGTTTCTAACAGGCCGTTAGGGCTGATAGTGGTCAAGATGTACCTTCGCCTGTCCGTAGTCTTCTTGAACACAGGTCTAGACAAGATAAACAGGATTGAATTTTCCTCCGAGGACGGTGCACATCTGACTGAGAAATGAGGAGCTAGCAATATGCACATAAATTATTTTGATCTGCAAAATAAATATATATGAAACACTAAAGTCCTGAAACAAGACCAAAATCGAGAAGTGGACGGACCTTCAGAACATTTTACTGGAGTTTACAGCTGGTGAGAGCGAAAAAGAACAACAAAAGTTTTCGTTTACAGCATATCTGCAATGTTTGCCCCTTTTAGTCAACACATCCGACTTTTGAGAGCATTTATTGTTCGAGTTAGCCTTCATGGCAATGATATGCAATATCTATTTAGAGTTGCAATATATCATTTTTGTCTAGCTTGTCGCTTGTTGTTTCACTAATTAAAACATAATTTGCCTAATACGGATTTGTCTAAAAACTATAGGCTCCAGCAAACGGGTCGTACTGCTGACGTCACCTGGTCGGGCTAACGATTCGTTAACGATGCGGTTCATAAACAGGGGGCAGAGACACTATGGTGTGCCGTGAGCGTATACCAGGGGTGCCGCGGAAATAATCCAGAAATGTCGGCTAAAAATTGTGAAATTATTAACGAAGGCACGTAGATACTTTCAGTTAAAATTTAAGTGGTCTTCCTTCGCCACTATCGAAGATAGTTTATTTCTTGGTTGATAACTATTGCGTTAACGCATCGTTAGCCGGACCCGGTGATGTCAGCAGCACGGCCCATCAGCTGGAGCCGGTCGTGGTTAGACCTATATGTCCAACACTCCAGAAAGCCTGGAGAATAGTCTTTTACATACTATTTTTTATTTACACATTTACCTACCGCAGTTCAGTCTATAGTGGTTTCCATAGTAGTAGTAAATGCTGTTTATGTGTCAAACTTAATTTGTCTTCACTGTAGAGACAGCTCCTGAAAGATTGACTGAAGACATAGTATCTCTGTTGTTACGACTTTCTACTCATGAGCTGTAGCGAAAGTCAATGTCTGACACTGGTTAACTAGTTGTTTCACGTTGAGTATGATCCAGAAAGCTGAGATAGGAGCTTTTGACTAACTACTTTGAGATATTCACAGATCATAAGGTAAAGTTATTCATAGTACCAGGATATACATGTGTTGTGGACAATAAAAGTCCTCACAGGTTTGATGGCATTGCTAACAAAAAAAGAGGGTCAACTAATAGATTAAACTGACACAAAGTCTTAGACAGTCCGCCCTGTACTCGTAGATTAACCAGTCCTAAAAATGTGTGCACTTAATGTTCTGGGAAATAAACGAGTTTATTGTGGGATTTTCGATACCAATCATCGTGATGTATGAGGTAAACATTTGTACGGATAACGACTGGAGCAGGCAGAGACTGTCACAGGAGTCGCGCCGTTTTGAAACTTCCAACGCCGCTCACACATCTGCTAGACCAACAGGCATACAGCAACTTACTCGATCTTCATTCGCCAAATAATTTCTATACATTTCGTCTCTATTGTGTGTGTGTGTGTGTGTGTGTGTGTGATGTGAGTGTGTGCGAGAGAGAGTGTTTTGTGTGTGTGTGAGTGTGTGTGTGTGTGTGCGTGTGTGTGTGTTTTACGGATAATAGAGAGCTGCTCCTTTTTTTTGGTGCATGTCAGAATTGGGGCGCCTTTTTTTAGACTATCATTACGACGTCAACGTAATCGATTGCACCTTGGAGATATGTGCTAAATACTCTTACGCCCCTAACAAACATTACTGGCAGGTTATACAAAACAACGGCTTATTTGTGTGTGTGTGTGTGTCTGTCTGTCTGTCTGTCTGTCTGTCTGTCTGTCTGTCTGTCTGTCTGTCTGTGGGTGTGGGTGTGTGTGTGTGTGTTTATATATTAGGCGTTGCCAGTCCTACACGTAATTCCAAAGTACTGCGATTAGTCCCACTGTATAGATTTTTATCATCGTATGGGTCGTCGCAGGTCGACCCAGACTAAAGTGGGTACCAAATCTGTGTTGTCGTGTTTATTAACTCTCCTGTGCTCAGTGTGAATGTTTATGTTTGTGTGTCTTTGTGTCTTTCTTGTATGGGTGTGTGTGTGTGTGTGTGTTTGTGTGTGTGTGTGTGAGTGTGAAAGCAGCTGAATAAATTTACACAATATCACAGTAATGTCTTTCTCCCTCGCGGACACGGTGTTATCTACACATGTGTCACTGAGTCATCAAAACTGTAGAAATCTTCTTGTAAGTTATAAATTACGATCTCTTTTGCCATTGGTGTCCACAGTCTCTGGTTCTGGATGACGCCAATATTCTACCACACGGACAGTTCATCAGGCCCTCGTATCATGTTTAGATTCGCCATTTACTGATGGGATTGTCAGTGGCTTGTTCATTTCCCGTGGTGTGCTGTTAGCATTGTCCAAACCCTGTTCCTTGGAATGGTGTGAGCTTTGGGACAACGGACGTTGAGCGGACGGGTTCGTGTCTTGATTTGAATGTTGTGACACCGATGAGGTCGACGTGTGGTTAGAGTTACTCTGTAAACCGCTTTTGTGGTTATCGCTCTCAGAAGGTGAGGGCTTAACGGTTTTGTAACCGTCATCTGTTGGTAGCACTGAGATGTTACCACTTGGAGGGAATGTTTTACTTGAGACTGTGAACACTTTCATTCTGTCTTCATGTGACGTCTCATCCGCATTGGACATTGGAGCCACTGAATTGTCCCGAGCGTGGGAGAAACCGTTCGATGATCGATGTTTGTAGAAGTCTGTCTGTTCTCGATCTTGAGGACTTAATTTGATTCGAAACAATTCCTTAAGTCCCCTCTTGATTCGACTGTTGCTGGCGGCGTACAGAAACGGGTTAATGCTGGAATTTGCATGACTCATCACAATCGCTACCAGAAGGGCCTCATAGGGAAAAATGCATCTTAGACCACAGAACAAGCTAACGCAGTTGAAGAGATTTACAGGAATCCAGAATACACCAAACAGTAAAATCACCAACGCAAATACTTTGGCAGCTTTAACATCTTTGTTGAAGTCCTTTGCGTCTTTGCTTTGGCGGAATTGACTGTGAAGAGCGTTTGTCTGTCGCGTATGTTTGCGAACAATGAGAAGAATGTAAATGTATATGCATAGCATGATCAATAAAGGCAATAGAACCAACCCGAAGAATTGGAAATAAACCATGTACTCATAACTGATCATCTCAGTAAATCGACAGTAAGTCACAGTTTGATATCCACGATGCCACCCATACATGGGCATGAGTCCAAGAGCAGCACCCAAGATCCACACGAAGAAGTTGACGTAGAAGGCCCGTCTCACTGTGAGAATCCGCTGATAGACAAACGGCTCCTTGATGGCAATAAACCGTTCAATGGCCACCGACATGAGCATCAGTATCGACACGTTGGTGAACATCAAAATGAGGCAGTTAATGAAGACGCAGGCGTAGAAATTATGAGGGAGTCCTAGAAAGGACAAAGCTGCGCAGGGAGCAACCAGAACTCCGACAGCGATATCGGCAATAGCTAAGTTGCCAACGAAGACGTTGGTAACTGTGTGGAGCTGTGGCGTTTTGATGATCACAGCCAGAACTAGACAGTTGCCGACTGTTGTGATCAGACCAACTATAGCTTCTGCTGAGATGTAGACTATATCTATAGTCTGCATGTTGCAGGTCTCGGGTGTACAGATGGATGAATGTGTCTAATAGTAATATCGCTTAGGCGTGGTTCTCTTTAACATTTCATCAGATCTTTTGACTGTGTTATGTGTGAACCGATGAATCCTTTGTTACTTTTTAGTGCTGTGCATAAAATATCTTAGTTTATACTTCTTAAAACATCTTAATTAATACTCTTTTCTTGTTCTATCTACAGAGTTATTTCTATCGTTGGTTCAAAGCCAAATTTGTTTATTTTCTTTCTGTAACGGCTCTTTTTTGTAGCTTTAACTTGAAAACTGTAATTTGTTTTTACAGTAGTCGCATTTCATTCAAATGCAGATGCAAATTCAATCTAAAGTACACAATAGTTCTATATCACAACTGCCTCTTAAATTGTCTGAAAAATTACTATCTTGAGAAGCAACGGCAAAATGTGAACGTAATGTTGTCTAATAAAATCACATGCAGCCAACAAAGGCTGTTTTCTCGCTTTCTATACAGAATGTGCATGTCTTAAACGTTTATCATCATATAACCGAACATCCCAGCTGTCAATCTTACTTCTCAAAGATAGGAGCCCTGTCCATTTGTCCATCGTAACTACATCTAGGAGTACCCATTACTTAGTAATACTCATTACCATTAGGTTGTGTAAGAATGAAAACTCAACATTTAATCTTCGAAGAAGAATCTAGAGAGGCATATCCACTAACTTGAGGAATTCCCTGTTTTAATAACACGTGTAATTTACGATTATAGCTTTGAGGTCGGGAAAAGACACCGCCTGTCTATATAATTAAATCGGTGAAGGTCTATGAAGGAATCAGTGAAGGTATATGAAGGAATCGGTGAAGGTCTATGAAGGAAACGCCGAATATAACATGAAGTTAAGCGTTGCCATTTTACATAACTGTTAACATCCAGAATCCTGATGGTGTAAACAGAATCAGTGATGACAGTCCCTTTCATTCAGTTCCGCTGATCCCCTGGCCTACTTTCTGCTAATAATCTATTATATAGCGTCTCCAGTGTGCCAATATTTGACCTCTGATTGTGTAATCAGGGCTGCTCCGGATCTAGACATTCCACAAGTATCCATTTTGTCTTGGTGGTACGGTACGATAAAATATTGTCTCCCGCCTTATCTCCTTCGTCTTCTCGTTCGATTTAACGATCTTCTACGACAATTCTTTTTCCGGTCCGTCCGCAGACCATATGCCCGGTATTGGGGAAGATTAGACTGCTATAAATATATGGCATGTTTACATAAATGGTGTTTACTATTTTTTTTTCCTTCTGCCTGATAACCACGATTGAGTGAGTTGAACCGGCAAAACGGTGAACACAGTGCAGCAGGTTGAATCAGAAATGGGTTACGTGTGTAATCTTTAGTGTCGTTCGTTTAACACAAATTAGTTTACTCAAAATTTGCGTGTAATTCTTTCACAGCTATGATTACACATTTTTTAAAAAAAATTATTTCAACTTCCATAAACGCCTACATATAATCTTTAACAGCAGGCATAGATTGAGGCTTGAGAGTTCAGTAAGTCAGTCGATATCCTCTTGTATTTGGAAAATGTGTTAGTCCCAAATCATTTCGTGTGTACTGAGCACTCCAGGTGACTGATCTGAAAATATAAAAAGGATAATATTAAAATCTTCTATAAGAATTTCTTCTGCCCCTGCCGTTCTCCTTCTTATTTTTCTTCAGCTTCTTCTTCTTCTCCGATTTTTCTACTTTCTCGTCTTCACCCTTCTCCCCCTCTTTCATCACTCTCCTTCCTCATCATTTTCCTCATCCTCATCCTCCTTACGCTTATTGTTGTTGTAATTGTTGTTATTCTTGTTCTTCTTCTTCTTCTTGTTCTTGTTCTTGTTCTTCTTCTTCTACTTTTTTCTTCCTCTTCTTCTTCTTCTTCTTCTTCTTCTTCTTCTTCTTCTTCTTCTTCTTCTTCTTCTTCTTCTTCTTCTTCTTCTTCTTCTTCTTCTTCTTCTTCCTGCCTCTATCCTTATTGTTTTCTTCTTCACCTCATTACTATTATCATTTTTTTGTCTTCTTTTCCCTCTACCTCCTCTTATTTTTCGTCTTCTGTTTCTTTTTTTTTTTTTTTTTTTTTTTTATCTTTGTTGGTTAGTTACTTGATCATACTCCGAAAACAATGCAGAAAGTTAGTTTTCCAAAACAAAAATAACAAAAAAAAAATTTTTATTTATAAATACAAAAACAGTTAAGAACGGTTTCCCATACTTGAGTGTATACTGACTAATGGATGCTAGAGTTTTAACTCTGTAAGCCAATCTATCAGGATTATAAAGGCAACATAATATCGTCCGCTTTTCTCGTCTGCTTTTACTTTACCCCCAAAAAATGTGTTTGCTTTTTTTAGGCCAGATTATCCTGGAAGACCGTGTTAAAGTAACCAATTAGCTTTTTCTTCCGGTATCGTATACACTTTACCTCGTCTTATGACGTTTGTGACTTACGACTATCCGCACGTACGACCACCGAAAAAAAATAGTAATTATAAAACTACATAGCAAGGTTCAAAAGTTCCCCGAACTGATGCAGTAGAGTACATATAATTTATTGTGCACAAAATATATGTATATAAATTAGATTTTTGTGCTTTGTGTACAATTATAAAAACCTTTCAAATTAAAATACTGTTGAAAATAATAATTCTACTTATGCAAGTTCGACTTATAACCAGTTCGAATTACGACCAGTTAGATTTACGAATAGTTCGACTAACGAATAGTTCGACATACGACCAGTTCGACTTACGTCCAGTTCGACTTTCGACCTGTTAGTCGGAACGGAACTCTGTCGTGAGTCGGAGAAACCCTTTATTTGTTATATTTTTTTTTTCTGCCATTCCAGAGCTAAAACATGGTAAAATAAAATGTGATAATGTGCCCGTCACTGGCTTATCGGTAACATAGTGCTAGGTTCATATCTGTATACACAAACTGATATTCGATTGGTGGTTTGGTCAGTTGTCATGGTTACACGTTACTATGGTCGTCTTTATTTCTCATGTAAATTCCGATGAACATTTTAAAGCCAGGTTGATCAGGAAATCGATAACAAACATCTGTCTTCATGGCGATTTGAACCCTAGACCTTTCATTGGTAGGCAAGCATCTAGCCAGACTCATTATGGGATACTAGTTTGTGTAATAAAATCAGGAACAGATGTAACTTTTTATCAGGCAAAGGGATGCATGATATACACAAGGCAATGGGATGTAAAATATACACAGGGCAATAGGATGGATGATATACACAGGGCAATAGGATGTATGATATACATAGGCCAAAGGGATGTATAATATACACATGGCAATGGGATGTATCATATACACAAGCTAATGGGATTCATGATATACACAAGGCAATAGGATATATTATATACACAGGGCAACGGGATGTATGATATACACAGTCTAATGGGGTGTATGATATACACAAGGCAATGGGATGTATGAAATACACAAGGCAATGGGATGTATGAAATACACACGGCAATGGAATGTATGGTATACACAAGGCAATAGGATATGTCATATACACAGGGCAACGGGATGTATGATATACACAGTCTAATGGGATGTATGAAATACACAGGGCAGCGGGATGTATGATATACACAAGGCAATGGGATATATGATATACACAGGCTAATGGGATGTATGATATGCACAAGGCAATAGGATATATCATATACACAGGGCAACGGGATGTATGATATACACAGTCTAATGGGGTGTATGATATACACATCGCAATGGAATGTATGAAATACACACGGCAATGGTATGTATGATATACACAGGGCAATGGGATATATCATATACACAAGGCAAAGGGGTGGATTATTTACACAGGGCTATGGTATTATGATATACACCAGGCATTAGGGTGTATGATATACACAAGGCAATAGGGTGCGTAAAAGAATTAATAACAATGGTATGAATAATTTCGCTTTATTGCACAAGAAATTAGATTTTTATCTTGATATAATATGAAATTTGTAAGCAAATGCAGCAACACTTTGATTAACCGTCACCATCTGGACCAGGGCTGCTGTGACGGATAACCGAATAAACGGATGACAGCAACAGATGTAACTTTTTATCAGGCAAAGGGATGTATGATATACACAATAGTAACTTGATTTCAATGCGGGCTTCGGACAAAAAGGGAACTAAAATCTATTGAAAGTAAATAATACATACATATTGTTTTTTAATTACAATAAATAAACAATAGATTGCACAATTTATTGCCTGTCATATTTCGCTGTATCTCGTCAGGAGCGTACTATAGTAACAATTACATAAATGAAGCAGATAAGTGAATCCTTTACAACTGCAGTACAAATTCAACAACGATCAAACATAACGAATCGTTCGTCACCTGTGCTATGAATTATGTAAACAGAAAGATATGGTATTGACATTGAGGTGCCGTAGTAAAACAGGCAGTTATGTTTGAACGTTTTGAATTTTTTTTTATAAAGGATTTGGCAGTATAACACTTCGACAATGGTATCTTCTTCTTCAGTTTACCTGCTGTATACTCCGAGGATTAGTTCTGGTTGTTTGTCCATTTCTAGACTTTAGTCTAGTTCCAGAAACTGAGTTTTTGCGTGCACATCCATTTATATATATATAAAAATCAAAGTTTGTGTGTTTGTTTATGAGCTATAGACTCGGAAACTACTGAACCGATTTAGCTGAAATTTTCAGGATATGTTTGTTTTGATACCGGATGTTTACCCATCATGGTTTGAAATTCTACCTGTCATTGTTAGAGATAGGTGACCACATTTTTTGAAAAAATCTTCGAAACTAATATTTCCATTTTTAGTGACATTTAATTATAGCCACGTTAGTAAATGCGCGTGCGCGATCGTCTTTCACTGTGAACGCGCAGTAGACACGGGACGCTATATTTTTAACATCCGCCCGTACAGCAAACCAGACTATCTCTATA